TAAAAAATTATGATTTTTATTTTAGTTTATTGCATGTTAAATGTTTAATTAAAAATATTTATAGTCATGTATTAGCGTCTTTTGTAGAGTTTTAATAATTTCAATTATTTACATCACGCAATTATAGTGTATCCATTAATATTCGTTTCAGATAGGAGTATCATTGTGATATATTGTCAGATAATGAATACATTTTTAAACCTCTAATTAAAATATGAAAATTCTATTTTTTCAGACTTTTGTTTTTTGAAATATTCATATAAAATTAGGACAGAAAATTTAAAGGAGTTGGATGATAGATCTCCTTTCCACCATTATGCTAGAATAAAGGGAATACACATCAGCAAATTTTCAGGTAGAAAATTCGCAAATATTAGTAAGTGATACAATATAACTTCTTACATTACCTCGACATTTTACTGGAGAAAAGAATTTTATTGTTTCCCAACTCACTTAAAAACACTGAAAATATTCAAGAAGAAACGATCCATTAAATACTCGTAAACAGAAAAACCATTAATTATAAGCATACGCTATTGTACATATTCACAATAAGTGACGTCACTGGCAGCCATGTTAATTCAAGAAACTATTTGACGTGAAATTACATCGTTTGAATTTCTGTTATTTATTTCTAAGGAAATATATTACGGATTGTAGTAGAATAAGGAGGGAAATGATTTCTGTAACATGTCATTTTCTGTAGTTACATACAAACAAATTTCTGTAATCTCGATTGTCAAAAATATATTTTTTTTTACAACTTAAATTGATATTATCATTTTTTCATGGAACATTGATAAAAGATAATTAAATTATAGGAGTTGAATCATAAATACAGACGCTGCTGTTCAGCAAGTGAGTCTTATCGAGAACAGTTCAGTGGAAGTGCTGATCTGAGAAATACTATACAGACTGCTGGCTGGCTTTTACGTCTCAATGCTGTTCACTTTAACTTACACTGCTTACTGTTAAGATAAAAAAAATAAAACTCATTTTAAGTAGCATTCGAAACAAACCCTAAAGCAACAAACAAACCCTCTGAAATATCAGTAAATAAGCAACAATTATCATTGTTATCTCCAGGGGTGCCCATCTCCCCCAAGATCGATGGCGCAAGAACCTATCCCTCCCTATTCCTAAGATATTGTATTGTTCAACGTTTCTAAAAACAGAGCAAGCTAAGGTACAATTAGAAAAATTGTGGATCATGTACAATTACACTTGCTGCGGTCTCTCCCATGTTTTCCCGTTTTCCAAAAATTTATAACCCCATCGAAATTTGGCACCCCTCAAAAATTCAAAAGCCCTTCAAAATAAACCCCCTCAAAAAAATTAACTTGCATCATGAAACTACTAATTTTATATTTATTAGCAATTTAATTAATTTAACTAGTTAAATTAATTAATTTTTATATTTGTAAATTTTTATTCGTCGGTGAATATTAGGATGTGACTAAAAAAAATCAAATATTTCCGAATTTTTCAGGTGTATCACTTCAAGTTTTTAGCTAAATGTGAACTTTTTTCATTGTTTGAAATGCGCTATCTCAATCTTTCATATTTTCTTCCGAGTCCTATCCCATTTCAAATTTATACGATTTTCTTTTCCATGAAAATAACCAATCAGTGAAACGTCAATTAGGCACCTCCGTTAATATATGAAGAAGCTTTCATACATTTTTAACTAAAAAAAAAAAAGTTTAAAGTTTCTTAAATGTTGCCCAATCACAATGAAATTCTTACTCAGATCTCTTCTATAGTCCACGCTTAATAAGTGAGAGGATTAAAAATCAAGAATATTGCTCTTCTACACCTACACAACAGTTTCAGCGAAGTTAAGCTTGAGGGTTATTTTCCATTGAGGCAAGCTAATTACTTATATAACGAGTCTATATAATAAGTCCTTCGAATAATAGTCAATGTTCCGTTCTATGTAACCAACAAAACTCTGGATAATGATGTTAATATCCCATTTATTCTTGATCTAATCCCAGATAAATTCTCCTAATATCACCAGAATCTTACTCATCATCCGAGTCCTCTAGCACAATCCCTATCCAGAACCACCAATATCTCCAATTTTTCTAATAGGTTAAAACGGCACTGGCTCCGCGACCTTAGATAGGTGTATATATATATGCAGTCCGGCAATAATCAGATTCTACACAAGCCAAGTCTTGTGAATCTGTGACTGAGGCGCCCTTATTAAACCTCCACTAGTTTTTAATGGCAGAGAAGTGGTTGAGGGAGAAGTGCTGGGATCCTCTGGAGCCTCGGTTTTCCCTTCACAAGTAAGGAATGTGACAAGACTGGTTCAGAGTTCTCTTGACTGATTGTAAATAGTGTATATAAGCATGATTCATGATTCTATGTATTACATTGCTATCACTTAATTTATTTATTTATTTTCTGTAAATTGTTTATATTTTCTGTAAATATGGCGTGGATGTGCTTTCTGGTCTCTATTAAGGCCTTAATGGGACAGAATGTAATATTTCTCAATAAACAATTCAAATATATATATATACATTCACACACACAACATATATGTATGTATGTCTGTATATATATATATATATTGATTAAAGCATTACTACAATATACCATAGTCATTATGAAGTTGAGCAGACTTTCTCGATAATAATATATATTTTTATAAGAATAGAATTATTTCCCTAATAACGCTTATACTTAAAATCATTAGTGGATTCCAGATTTAATTTTGGAAGAGGGAGCTTCAGCCCGAATGATAATTCATGTAATGATAATTACTTGGAAGAAAAATAAAGAACTATAAAAAAAAATTACCTATACGAAATGGTGTTAAAGTGATTCTTGAAGTCCTAATTACACGAAAAATAATTTTAGAGATATTTTTTTAATATTTTCATAAGACATGGTTAAATTTCGTTTTCAAAGGGGTGAGGGCTTCAGCCCGAAAGCCCCTCCTCCTTTACGTAGATTCGTTTCTGCTTAAAATGTACCAGGAAGAGCAAGCATAGCTATATAATGCGCGAGTTCTCACATAAGTGTATTTGTCTAGGATTTTCTCCTAAATTTGACCATGCTAGTTTTTGAGTGATTTCTGTATGCATATGAGAGATTACGTCCAACAAGTTCCAGATAGCCCTCAAGTTCCCTGGAATACCTACTCCTTCCTCGGAGACAGCCAATCAGCAGCCTCCACCACGAGGAGCTATAGCCTTCCCACCCGGGAGGAAGCACTTGACACCGTCCCACCCAGCGAGGATAACGACCGCATTGTTTGCTAATGACACTCCGGGTATCGGGTATGGCAACTTTACAAGGTTCGGCAGGAGTGGACTGATGTCACAGCGATGGATTGATAGGAAGGAATGACGGAGGCAGCTGCACATGTGTGATATGCGCTCACCGATATCTACGAGTTAATATCCATCGATGCTCATGTTTACATCGAAAGAGATAACGAAAGTAAAGAAGATAGCATTCCTGTTAATACTGCAGATAGCCGCGAGGCAATCGGTAAACATTTTCCAAATCCTGTAAACAGTTTCGTAATAATCTATATTCAGACAGTATTTCTTCATGATGTCATCCACTGAATTAGAATCTTTAATTCTTGATCATGCTTTTAAACGTTCGAAAAGTTAGAGGATTACATAAGAAGTGAGTATAGAAAACTTTTAATTTTGTAATAGCTATTTGAAGTTTAATTTATTTTTTAACACAGAGGTATGAAAGGGTATGATCGTGTATGCTAGTTTCAAAATGTACTACATAATTGGTAGTTTTGAGAAATTATTTTTTTTTGTTTGTTTAAGTTCAATTAAACAGGGATGGGAAAATAAATAAAAACATGCTTACAAAGTCCTTTGAAAATTGAATCTATTGTAAATTCGATAAAGTAATTTAATATCTTATAGAACTAACATACTCAGTTGCAAATTACCAAAAAGTACCTTGTTTCTAAATAACTTTTATACATGATTTCCTCACTTTGTTTAAAAAAAAAGAGAAAGAAATATATTAATTTAAAACATAAAATTATACACTGAAAATTGTATAATATGGATTATTCAAAGTGCATCAACTGTATTTTTTCCCCAATAATACTCTCATATCAACTTGAGATGCCCAGAAGGAGATTTAATGGCGCCATAAAAATTTTTGACTCTGGTTTGACTTTGGTTTGGACTCTGTAGTTCACACCCACTAAATTATTTTATATAATGTAAATAATAAATTAATGCAGGGCGGTCCCTCCACGCCCAGTGGTATAATAAAAGGCCTCTGGCCACAGATGCAAAGAACGCATACAGCGTGCATAGACCTCTTACCTTAAAATGCCCTTGGGCAATAAAAGGAAATTAGAAGTGTTTTGTATATATATTTTATTATGCATTTATATATCGTATTTTGTATAGCAAATAAATTCCTGTGTGGTAGGAAAAAAAAAAATCGTGGGCACCACGAATTATTATTATTATTATTAATACACGAAAATTAAGAAATGTGCAACGGTGGGTAGGTTAATATTACACCGACGACATGAGGCATCGAAATGAACATCTTCATAATAAAGCCTTGTTTTATATAAACCGGTGATTGTAAAAGGATGTAAATATATGTGACACCTGTGAAATTTTTGTTAAGAGCAATTTTGTGAATTTTTATGAGTATCACCAGAAAGCTAATGACCCTCTTATTCTTTGTGTCTAAAGGGATATGGGCTTTCTGTTATACGGATATTACAGATATGAAAATTCCTTTGTGCAATCATGCGTTGAAACTCAAAAATCGAAGTTTCACCAGTGAAAATTCCCTTCTTTCAATTGCATTTTTCATTATTATATCATTTCTCGTTTTCTACACTTCATAAAACTTATTTAATAATTTTTATATCGGAGAACGAAAACGTCTTTGTTTGTTATGTTATTAGTGAGTAAATAAAAAGAGTGATAAACAAATACATTTTAAGGAATCTATCCACGAATAAAAAACAAGACAAAAACGGTTTAGATAGAGACTGTTACAGGACGTTTTATTATCTCTAATCCAAGTTGTGAGTAAGAACCTATGTCGCCCGCTGAGATATAGAAGCGACCAGATGGGAAGGCCCTCGGCGAAGAAGTCATTACGGGGAGACAATGGTTAGAGCAGCTGATAACACCCTCTTCGAAGGCTATCTCCATTCCTTGTCCCCTTTGCTTCATCTCGATGTCTTGTGCAAAACCTAGGTCTGCAGTGACGAAACACAATTGTCGAAGTGAATAGATTTGAATATATTTCGCCCCGGAGGCACTAAAATATTTATGACTTAATAGATCCCTGTATTGCCAAACGGTCTTTAAAATAAACCATTTGGGCGAGTCTGCATCAAAAAGAGAAAACCATTTTTTTTCTCTCTTAGTACGATTAACAGATCTAGATAGACCCGAAAGTACGTGGTGGCCAGTTTCGATTCTTTCGTGGGTCAGTTAATATTTGTTGCCCAAAATCGGTCTGGATCTTGCAAGACCAAGACCAAGGCCGCCTGACTGTTGCAAGACCAAGACCACGACTGAAAAAAAAATCGATTTAAAAAAAATAAGGCAAAATAGTTACTAATACTTGACAATCTTACTTACTATATGTTAATAATTGGTATGACCAATATACTTTTGCATTTAACTCCTCTAATTTTTCTTTCGGGCTCAGTTAGGTCTCTCCTATCTAAAAAATTATAGTAATATCTCGATAGTAATAGGCTAATAAGTAACTGCAAGACTGTTGTGAGACTCTTGCGCAAGACCAAGACCATGACCAAGACTCGTCTCGGTCTCGTATTTGGGCTACACTAATCTCGGCACACACAGTATGGTTAGTACGGAGCGGCAACCTTGTTCATGCCACATTATAAATACCACTTGTAACACATAAGAGACACTCTATTACTACATGGTGGCTAACCATTGGGACAGACAGCATCTTAGGCATTTTCGAGTCAGAAGGAGCTGGTTCAAATTTGTCTCATGGGAGATCGACCTTCATATAATTTTTCACTATCATTTGACGTTCACACTCGGACTACTGTAGGAAAATAACATGCAGGATTACTCGTCTTTCCTGACTTAGTCGATGTAGATAAAAACGCGAAGATATTTATATTTTATTTTATGCTAACGTTTCGGCCTAAGTTGCATACCCTCATTCAGGGCTAACAAAAAACGAGATAACAACAAAAACTATTATAAAGAGATGTGAGAACAAAAATTATGTTGTCTACTAATAAATAAATTATAAGAAATGAAAAAAAAAAATCAAATATACGAGTATTATATGTAACGGTAAAGTATGACAATATAAGTAAGCTATAATAAAGTGAAGTACCAATAACAAAGTAACAGTAATAAGCAAAGGTGCCGACTAATATAGGCTCGCGGGGCAAGCCCTCCAAAAATTGCTATTTTATAAACTTAGTGTACATATCAGTCGTGTACAAAATTTTACCAAAATAATAGTATAGAAGAAAATAAAGTTATGTTTGATTAATTATTCGGATTCATAACCTCACCTAACTGTAAAATGAACCATTTATTAAAATACTGTACTGTTTTAGTTTAAAGTATTTTGCATAACAACACTGTTTTGTCATCAAGAAGGGCGGTAATTGAGATGGTAATTTTTCATGCAGGTATATATTATATGTATATTGTATATAGCTCCCCCCCTACTCTTCCCCTCTCAGGCTCCTCTAGTTTTGCCTCCAATAATTTTCATAAGTCGGCGCCTATGGCAATAATGCAATGGAATAAACAGAATAATAAACAATTAAATGATGAAGATATGAAACCCGATATTAAGTAATATAGACACATCAGATACATTTACATAAAAAATAAATAAGATATCGTAATTTATGTAAGATAAGTTCAGTAGAAATGCAGTAAACATAGAATGATGATGAATATAGAATAATAATGACGGCAAGATGTGAATGAAATATCAAGTATATGAATATCATTAAAGAGTAAGTAGAAAATAATGAGATGAAATAAAACAAAGAATGTTTGAGAGAAAGAAATAACTCTACGCTATTCACTGAACAAGTTTGGATGTTCTTCCATGTTGCGGATTGTAAGGAAAGTACGCGTATTTTATTTTTATAACATTTATACTTATTTATATTTATACATTTGTATTTATTTCTACAGAACATTTATTAATTATTTTTCTCTCCGTTCTAAAACGGTTCAGAACATTTGGATTTTACGATTGTACCATTGCCATTTAATTTTACGGTGCCTTGAAATAGTCTTGTAAACTTCGGAACTTGTAAACACATAAATTTCTTATACACTTGTAAACTTCTCGAAAATTCCAATCATAAGTAGACGAAAACATGTTGAATTTTTTTTAGATCATACTTAAATTTCAGTTTTATGCTGCATTTTTTTCAAATGGCAGCTGTCATGCCATGTCTACTAATCTAAAATCAATCAGGCAATGTTTTAAAAGTCATATAATAATATGTTAGGGTATAGATTTTGAGTTAACCTCGGGTTTGGAGGATTTTCATCACATATATATTTGAATGTTTTCGTCTAGCAATGACTACAAATAAGCAAGCCATTTTCAAACATTATTCAGTGACACGAACGCCTACGTGTAACATTGCGATCTCGGGTGGATCATAAATATATTGCAGAATAGTTATAACAAACAATAAATATACTTTTATAACTACTTTCTAATATAAATTATGTGTGACTTACACTTTAGAATGGTCAGCAATTTTCCACCGAACCTCTATAAGGAAGTCGACTGATAACAACTTGGGAACGAATTGGAGTACTGTAATATTGAAGATAAAATCATCACGAAGACCGTTAAATGTTTAGCTTTTAACTCGAAAAGCCAACGACTCGAAATAAGAGCAGGTAATTCTCGAGGGTAAATCGGACACAGCCCGTGAAAACAGTGCCATTAGATCGGTCATGGTGAACTATGGGAAAATGACGATTGCGAAACCCTACTTTTTATCGATTATCTTTCCATAACCTTTATTCGATTATATACAACAATAATATTATTTTTTGTCGACCGATTTTCTCTTATTGTAAGGAATATTTTTATATATACTTCAATGTCACTTCTATCGCTTTATTTATTTATTTTTGTTTTTCGAATACTTAAATACGATATATATATTTTTCAAATATCAATTGCAAGTAGTAACCATGGATACGAGGATGAGACTTAAGAGACGTTGGATAACAGATTCTCTTCCTTAAGCTTCGGTTATCAAAAAAAAATTTTCTTCATTAGAAGAAAACAATTTTTTTTATTTGTTTTTATAATTTATTTTTATTTGTTATTTTTTATATTATTATTTTATTTTGCTAACACTGTTACCAATGTGTAGATATCCAAACATTATTTTTGATTTTTATCGATGCTTCAATTGTGGATTTTCCTCCATAAAGTGTAGTCAAAATTAGGAAGTGAATTACATTCAAACTTTTAAATTAACCTACAGAATTTTTTCGAAAACGTTTATTGTAATTATTAAATGCAGGGACATACTCTCCAGTTTGTAACGTCAGCAAAGAAATTGCTCAGACGGACACTCTAAGCTATTTTGGATTTACTTTTAACCGAAGGAAGACATGGAAGACCACCAAATTCTTTATAACTTTTCTCTAAATTTTACTCAAACCCATAAAAGATTCACTTACTTAAAATCTTTAAATCAGGGATTGATACTTCCATGGAACTTATTTGTAATAAAATTCTAGATATACGGTAAACGTTTAACTGTTATTTATTTATGTTCTTAAAAAATGTTACGTTAAATGAGAAATAAACATGTGATTGGATATAGAATCGACTTATAGTATATCTTAAATGAATTACTTGATTCTAATTTGTCTTATGTTTCAGTTGCTGACAAATCAAATCAACGTTTAAATAAACATTTTTTTATTTATTATTTTTTTTTAATAAGAGTCCTATAAAATCTTTACTCGTAATTTTTCAAGAGAAAAAGTTCTAATTCCAAACATAATATATATATAACGTTCCAGTCCTATCGAAATTGACTAAAAGTAAAAGTTAAAATATCGTTTCAAGCCCTGCTCTAAACCTTCAAATTAAAAACATGACAACTCATGACAGTAAAAAATCATGGTACGTGACTAACATACAGATTTACAACTACGAACAGTTCACTAACACATAATGACTCTTTTTACGATTTCATACTAATCTACATTGACATATGAACAGCTGACAAGCTCATGAATATAAGGAGGATAATAAAAAGGCTCTGGATGACAGATCTTCTAAGCCTAACATAGGTAATTGGAATCTAAAAAACTTTGGTATTAAAAGTATTGTACTTTCAATCGCACATAAGCATAACTCACATTTTCCAACATTGCCGTTTTTTTTACTCGTAAATTAAACGATATAAATACATAAAAAACATATTAATAGCCTTGGGAAACGACAGTAATCGATCTGACAAAATAATATCATGATATATAATGTCGAAAAGTGTAAATTTAATAAAAGAGATATGACAATAACATTTATTTATCATTTACTTTTATTTAATTTTTTTTCTTTATATTTATTTTTATTTTGTTTATAAAAATCTTCAATTCTAAATCACCTCAATCCATTAGTCCGTTCTATTTCCTGCTACCTGTTACTTGATCAACGCAGATTAAAAAGAAAATGCCCGAGGGACCTACCACAATAAAATAAATACAAAATTATTTTATTATTTACTTATTTTTCAAATTTATTTATTATATAGTTTTTCTTTATTTATTTTTTTATTTACTTATTTTTTATTATTTTTGTTAAAGATACCAGCTAAATATTTGAATAATATATATGTATATATATATATTTTTTATTTTTTTTATCGGATGCTGATGTCCTGGATATTTTGCGCCTAAAACATCAAAACAACCAGCCATGAGCATTTGTTGCTTATTTTTTTGGTAATCGAGTATCTCAACATTTCTTACACTTGATCAGTGTCGTAGAATACCATTCACATAATGTTATTGTAGTTTTTTTTCTTCCAGAGGCGACCTGAATGGATATAAAAATAACGACACTAGGTGAGCGATGTCATGGAGGCACCTTCCACTAAATATAGCACGCCTCCTGCATCTTGGAAGAAAAACAGGCGCGCATTATGGCCCCTGTTTGTGTAAACAACCTCAGCCTCAAACAGGATCAAACAAATAGCTTTGTGATTTGTATTTTTTATATACACTCTCCTCAGTAATTTGTAGGGAGTTCTAAATAAATAAATTTCAATATGAACAATTTTCAAACAAAAAACATGAAAACGACTTAGACAAAATGTTTTCTTTGGACCATTTTGTTTCTGCAGTATTACAGACTAATCGTCTAATAATTTTTAGATTTTTTATCAAGTTACTGATTACAGGATTTATGATAAAATTGTGAAAATCAAAAATAATAAAAATGCAAAATAGCTGGAACAAAATAATAAATTGTTTGTCATAAAAATTGTACCTAAATACAGGCAGTATAAGATAAACCGATTCAAGTTTAAAGAATAAATATAGAAGGCGTTTAAATAAGAAAATATAATCTTTTTTTAATTATTTTTTTGTAAAGCTTATTTAATCCACAATATTTTTTTTTAAATTAACCGAAAACGATTATACTCTAAATCGTAGGAACCAATCGATCTTTAATTAATATCGACCAACGAATTTAGCAGAACACACAAGCAGACACAGACACACATAGTAAATATTTTATTTTTCATTATTCAATGATTAATTAACTTTCATTTTGCATGTAATTGTCTTTAGAAAAAAATAAAAAAATAATATTAATAATAAAAATTAAATAGAGAAGATTATCCGAAATGTAAGACCAATAATATAGAGTGGACGTATCTGTTTTATTATGGCCACCCAAAAACAGTAAATATTTTTAAAAGT